GGGACAAAAGGGAAAATAAGAAGTGAAACAACTTGCAACAACGACTCGAACAACTTACAAAATATTACCTTCAGCTACTAGTGACGCAGAACTAATACTTGGGGACAAATAGTGGGTAAAAGCACGGAAAGTCCATTCAGGAATCTGGGGTGTTGAAAATGGAGTAAAGATCACTGGGACCACGCACTACAATATCATCATGCATTCTTGTGACATTGTAAGATAGGACATAGGGCACAAAAGAAGAAACCGCCAGCAATTGCTTTTCAGCACTCATTCATCAATGTTGCTACGCTTATACGTGAGTTGGTATGATGCACCCAGTCACTGCCGCCATCGTGTGTTCTTCTACATGGTCACATTCCCACAGATAGTTGAGGATTCCAAAATTTAGATCATATGCCGCCATTCAAGCCATGACTCAGATCGAGTATTCCCACCTAAAGCCATGAATGTCGTAAACCGATCATCACAAATTCAACCGCAACAACCAACTTTAGTGCTGGGTGTGTGCCGCGAGTGTTGAGAGCAACAGACCTGAGGGCATCTCAGGCAAGATATCAATGGCGTGTGCGACTCTCTGCGTGTATGACGTTCGTCGGAGTATCTCGGTGTGGGTCCCTATTCGAAGATTCCGGTTAGTATCCTCTTGGTATTGCTATGAGACCTTGGATCGTGGTGTTTCATTCCAAGTTATGGAGTTTTGTGATCAGCTAGTACCCTCGGAAGTTGCTAGAATACTCGCAGCAATTGTTCAATACAAACGCCATCAATGACATGACAATCATGGTACTGGTAAGCTTGCGTCTGTACATCAGCATTCATGACACCCGCAACNAAACCGCAGAAAACGGGGAAAAGGGTGAAGAAGAAAAGGGTAGACTCTGAATGGAGCAGCAAGGCAGTAGTCGGCGAGTTAATGTATCTAAGTTTGTCGTCTAGGCCGGACATCACCGAGGCGGTGAATTCGGCGGCTAGATGTCCTTTCGAAGACCACCAGAAGCCAATGCTGAAGAGGGTAATGAGGTACCTTCGGGGCACGTTGGCTGTGGGTGTCGAGTGGACGCCGACGAGCTGGAAAACATACAAGACGAACTACGAGCCGTTGTGGATTCAGGGCGCCCCCCTTACCGTGAGCGGTGAACCAGAACCAGTAAGCGAAATGTCTCCTATCGGAACTTTTTCTGACGCGGACTTTCAAGGCTGTCCGTCTGCAAGTAAGTCAACTACAGGCACGATGATGACGCACTACGGAGTTTGCGTGGCTTGGAGGTCCAAGCGGCAGACGATCGTAACACTCTCTACGCCTCATGCCGAGACGGTAGCTAAGTGTGAGTCGATTCAGTGTGCGCAATCCATCGCTTTCGTTGATATTGTACCCGGCACAGAGTGCAAGAACCAGGGCTATGCCAATACTCCGCCCACATGGGTAGACAACAAACCAGCACTAGACCAAGCGACGCAAGAGTTCAAATGTGCAGGAAGTAAACACTACCACAGCAGACTACACTTCGTGCGCGATCTAGTTGATCGATGTCGCCACTCCCCCACCGGGTTGATGAGGGCTGATGGCCTCACGAAGCCAGTATCTGCGGAAACTCTATGGCTAATGTTATATGGTGTAGAGAAAACTACTAGTATAAACTCCATTCTACAAATCCCAAACTCACACTTTTCAGGTTCGTGGCGACAAGCGGGGACGCCGGTGAGGAGCAGCACAACAAAACGAGTCCAGTTCAGTCCCGTGGTGACATGGATTACCTGGACAAAGGAGAAACGAGAAGAAAAGAGGAGGAAACTAGTAGAAAAGTTCACTAGAAGAAGAAAGAGAAGAACTAGCTTAGACTAGTCGTAGTTTTTTTTGCATTCGTATCCTGCATATATATAAAGTCTTGCATTAGGTTGGTATAGTTTCGCTTCCCAACCCCAAAAAAACGAATTCCGGTCGCTTAGTCCCCCTAGTGTTACTAAAATTTTTTTTTCTTGCAACTAAATAAATAAGTCCGCCAACGGAGACACTTCGGGGGGAGAATGTTACGCATGAAGATCAAGGTCCAACCAAGTCGCTCGGTGTTCCGCATTCCCTGAATTGAGTCGCTTGGTTCTTCTCTCTTGGTCTGTTGGTTCTCCGCTTGCGTTCGTCTTTCTCCTTCTGAATGTTCTCGCTGAGTGATATGATTGCAACAGGCTCAAGGCTATGAGTCTAATCGTGTGAAGATCATAGCGACCGGGATCCTTATGCACTGAAACCCCTCAGGATGATGATGATGGATGGC